GCAATGGGTGTTTTGCTGAGGGACAGCACAACTGTGATAAAACGCATATTAATATCGTGTAAGTTTTAAAAAGACAAAAGAAGAAAAACCTAAACATATAAACCAATGTGGTACTGTATAAAATCACACCTAGTGAGCAGTTACAATCTAATTGTTTGAATTATAACAGGCACTTAAGGAATGCTCATGGAGGGAAGAGTCTCAGATGTGATTTTTATGCATCTCTGCAGTTTTCCCTTAACAGGAAAAAAAATATCAAAGATACCAATATCAATTCTTGACACCCCATTCTTCTGTGTGTACTGAAAGAGAGCTTTTCTTTTCGGCAAAAATGATGATACTGGGAGAAGACGACCAAGGCCTGATCTTTGAACTGGGGCTGGATGCTGAGTAAGTACTTAAGATGGTTTCATAGAGGAAAAAAAAAAAAAAAGAGCCAAAAAAAGAGCTTAGGTCAGTAGGTGCCACCTCATTTTGGCAAATGTTTAACCCATGCTACCAGGTTATAGGATCCTGCCCAAAGGCAGAGTAAGGTCTCTCTTTGATTTAGGGCTTACAGTTAGGTACATGGAGATGCTGTAGATGGCTCTGAAATATTCTGATGTAGATTTCTCATTCTTTTTCCTCTCTTAAAGCTGTGGCATGAGAAAAGCCTGCCTTGGGTTAGCTGTCTTTCTCCAGGACAGAGTTTGCTGGTGTCAGTTCTAAGGAGGTGGTAGCATATTCTACCATGTGAGTACTAGGAGTTGAATTCCTCAGATGATTAGAGGAAGGGATGGTGTCATCACTAACCTTCCTGGTATCTAGTTTGAACAGCACTTTATTCAGCCTACTGACTCTAGAGAATTGATCCTTAGGTTTCAGTTTCTCTCCAAGCAAAACTCCCTGCAAAAATTGACTTAGTAAATTAAAATAATTTAATTTTTTGGACCTAAGAAGTTTCTGTAAATTCTAGGAATCACTTTTTTTTTTTTTTTAAATCTGAATTTCTAGTAGTTCTTAAGGTTTTCTTCAGGTTTTCTGCTTCTAATACTGGATTAAAGTCATACAGTTAAGGCAGACCAGAGCAATAATTGAAGGTGTAAATCAGACACTGCCATAATCTATATTTCCAACCTTAAAAGCAGATTATAATCTAGCTTTTGTGACTCTCAGCCAAATTACTCGCTGTCCTCTGGTCTGGGAACTGCATTTCTCAGTTTGACTTCAGGTGGTGAATGTGGTCAGCTTTGCTTGGAGTGGAAATCTCAAAGCACCTCGGTGCTTTTCCCTCCTGTAGCCTGCACAAAGATGTTTTTCAGCCAGTAAAAGCTTTGAGTGCTTCAGAGGGGAAATGAGCATCTCATATTGCTGATGTTTGTTATCACAACCTTTAGCAAAGATATTGAGAGGGAGAGGTGCTGAGCCTGTGCTCCAGCTGAGGTAGCAAAAGCACAGAGTCACAGAGGAGAGGCAGTAGGAAAAACCAAGACTACCAGGGCACTAGTAAGAAGCATATGATACAGAATTAAGTAACTCGAAGTATTGACTTAGTCTTGTCCTTGTATGTGTTCTTTGTAACTGTATTTCCCTTTCTGCCTGCTCTAAATGGTTGTGGTTGGCACCAGTAAAAGGCCAGAACTTGCAGTCCTGGCTTCTTCACTTCTCATGTGGTTATTGAATGTACAATATATTGTACAGTTATTACTAAAAGTAATTACAAAGTTGAACAAAGAACAATTAGTGGTTTATGGTAAACAGTGAAAATGAAGAAGAACAGATTCAGGAAACGAAATGAGGTTACAAAGCAAGTTGTTTCTGCATTTAGGCAATTGGGGGTTGTTTTATATGAAGATCTTTCTGCAGAGTCCTATTTTTTTCCAAAAAATAAGAATAACTAGTTAACTAGCTTTCTGTAACTTTCACTAGAGACAAGTATACTCATAGAAAGCTTAGAATTATTAAAAAAAAAAGTGGTGAATTAGATTAAATTTATCCTAAATACCCTTCTCTGCAGGTTAGAAAATGTATACCTCATTTTTGGTGTGTCACACAGAATGAGATTTGACCTGTTAATGACTTTATTTAATGCAGTTGAATAATTTCTACTCGGAGTTTATTTGCTTTTTCATTGTCTTGCTTAATTTGTTTTGTGAATCTCCCTCTTTTTTGTTTGAAAGTCACAGTTTTTAATTTCAGTTTTTCAAATGCCTCAGCAGTAACTTCTGTTATCCTTGACATTTCTGTGTCACCATAATGTGAACTGCTGCAGTGGGAAACATAATCCTCTAATCTGGCTAGCTCAGACGCATTGTTCGTATGGAGACATTTTCCAAGTCAGTGTATTTATTAACAGCTCTGAGCGCTCTGTTCACTTCGGCATCTGCACTGGGAACAGTCTTCTGAATGGAAGCTGTAGCCCAACAGTGGGTTTGTGCCTATGACTTCTTAAATTAACAAGAATAACGGTGCTGGTTCATGTGATTGTAGGACCCAGATCTCTGCCTTTAGCTTCAAAAGCTGTAAAATATGCGTATGCACACATGCACGTGTGTGTGTGTATATATGTATGTATGTACTCAGATTGACAGTTAATAAACTCTTTTATTGAGAAAGCACATCTGAATATTCACCCAAAACTTTTTGAGTAAAAAAAAACAAAACAAAACAAACAAAAAAAAGCATGCTGTATCAAGTTAAGAAAGCAAACTCTTTTAGCCATTTTAGGTTTTCAGATGAATGTTCAGTTTTCTGTGGAAACATTGTTTCGGATATTTATTCAGAACCTCAGTTTTAGGAAACTGAATGTTTCTGAGCAGTTTTAGTATTTAATTACCTTAATTTTCATCTATTACAGCTAAAGTTTATGCAGAGTTGCTGTCTCTGGGTATCCTAAGCTTGAGCCCAATGTGATGGCTGCATTCAGTTCTAGCATGTGTAGACATTTGGCCTGTGAGATTTGTCACTGCTTTTGTGAGATGTTTTGGGAGTCCATGTTGTGCTTTCTCTGTCACTTCAGTAATGATGTACACAGCTGCCTGCAGGAGGCACTTCTAGGAATCATGCTCATTAATAGTTTGCTAGTGGCCACTGTTGAAATCAGGAAACTGGGGTGAATGATTTTGCAGTATAACCAATCTGCCACTTAAGTTTTCATCTGAGAGCAAAAAAAAAGGACATGCAGCAGAGTGAATATATAACACATAGAAATACTCTTATAGATTTAAATAGTATTTGGATATGCAGTTACTTTTAGTAAAGTCAAGGCAAGCTATTGCTTGTACAAAATCCCAGGGTGGGGTGGAAGATCATTAATGATATGATTTAATTTAGAAGGTCATACAGTTGAACTAGAGGTTAATGGCAAATACCATCATGATCTTTAGACAGGAGATGGAATTACAGTACTGTATTTCCATGAAATTAAGATATGTCTTAATATGGATATGATATGCTAGAAGCATGGCATATGTTCCTGTATGTGCAAAACTTTCTTTGCTCTCTCCTTACCCTTTGGAAAAGCCAAAGGGGGGGAAAAATAAATTTATACATAGTTTCTCAGAATGAAGCAGAGGATAAAAACATTGCTCAAGCTGCAAAACAAGAAGGAAAGCCCTTGGAGCTAATGATTTTTTCTATTACCAAATGCTCTGAGATGTAAAAATCAAAAATAAGAGCAAATATTATTTGTATTTATCTGTATGTGCTATATTAAACACATGCTCAAAGGTTTAATGTTTTTTGAATAAATACTCATTAATGGCTGTGATTCATTGTAAAAAAAATATATATACATATATATAAAAGCTGATTGGGAAAAAGATTAGTTTATAACATGCAGTTTTTGAAGATTGGGAAAGGAATTTTCTGATAAGTGGACACACTTACTAGGATGTTATAACACCAAGCTTTTGGAGAAACAAATAGTGCTAGTTGGTTTCATTCTTTATTGACACTGGCATTTTGGATTTGGACAGTTAAGATTTGGCAGTGTATGGAATTGTTCCTTGTTACTACCTGACCTTTTGAATCTTCCCTCTTTAGGTCAAAATTTCCTCCTAATTCTTCCCTGTTCACACACTACTGTTTCTTTTTGTACCTTTGTGCTATTCTTTCCATATGCTAACGACTGGAAATGTCAACCATGTACTTGTGTATTTAACATCTCCATCAGCTTCCTCACTTAAAATTTCTTGGAAAGCTGTACATCAATGTTTCTAATAAAAACTGTTTGAAGAATTCCTGTGATATCTACAAGAACTAGAAATATGTGACTACACCTGTCTACATATTCTATTTACTAATGAGGGTAATCTTGTACAAAATGACAACCCCAAAGTTACTGAATATATTTAGAAAAATCTGTTGTATATCATTGATATTTCCTTTTGTAGCAAATAAACCCTTAAAATAGCTGCAGTGTGAAATTCAGTGAGCCTGACGACTCTCACCTCCCTATTGTATTTATCATTTCTGTTCTCGCTGACCCTTTCTAGGGAGTCACTGAGCCCAGTACAATAGTTTGCTGCAAATAGCTTTTATTCAAATGAAGGATTGCTCACAAGAATTATGAGTTCATATAGTGATAGCTCTTACAGGATCAGATCTAATAAAAGTTCACCTGATACAATTTCTTATGTAAACGAGTTTTCCACAGTATTTCTTTCTGGTTTCTCTGTTGCCAGTGCTTCCCACCATACTCCACAGAAATTAATTATTCCTCCATTTCTTTACTTTAAATGAAATGTTTGCTGAACTTAATTGATACTGCAATGTCTCTTCTTGCAGGGCAAAAAGAATTGTGCAAGAGTAATTCAGTCATTGTGTTTGACTGTGCTCTACTAACACTGTATTTTTCTGAAAACATTGGAAATCATTTTCACTGATGGAACCGATGGGAAACAATGAGTCAATCAAATGAGACAGTGGATTCAGAAAGCTCAATGCAAATTACTGTAGAAAGTTCTAAGTGCCTTAGTCCATACAATGTCAGTGCTTTTTTTTTTTTTTTCTTCCTCAAGGTTACTTGAAAACAAATATTTGGAGGCTACCACATATTCTTGATTATTGAGAGCCAGTGAAGAAAGAAAACAAATATCTGCAGTAAGAGAAAAACATTGGTAAAGAAGTGAAGGGATGTGCAGCCGGTTCTGTGGACTTCAGGTATGGTGGTGCAGGTTTTTGTCTGTTTGCAAGTTTCTTTTCCACCCTGGCAATCCACAAGAGCAAACGTGTCATGCCAGTCAGCAACAGTTCCTGTAATAAATTCAAAATACAAATGCATAAGTGGTTAGTCAGACTATTCTGTGGACAATTAATTATTTTTTGCTAATGCTAATGTACACTGCTAGATTTGGTCCCATCAGTCTCACACTCAACTCTGCTTGTGACGGTGGCAGTGTCCTAGGGCCATGCACATATTTCCTCTTCTGTGTGAATGAACACCTCTCATTTGTTTCGGCAAGAGTTTGCTGGCGTGGTCTCAGTCCATGAGCAATTTGCTTTCTTCTGCTCTTCAAGAGCTCCATTCATTCAGGCAAAACCAAAATTAATAAATTTCAACTATTATTTTCTTTTGCATTAATGTAGCATTAATTGCTTTAAAAATATGGTAGCTGTCTTGAATGTTAGTTGATTGTACCTTGTTCTTGATTTTACTACTTATCTTTGTAAAGTTAATGGAGTGCATTCTTCCTGTCTTGGTTCTCACAGCTTATGAAGAGTGAGCATTAAATGTAAATTGGTTTTAGAGTGACATTACTTGATAACAGAAGGGTTTTTATTTTGGTGAAGAGACTATGTCTAAGGAAGAAGATTAAGGAGGAAGTTTAGATGTGAGAGAAATACACTTGTGTTCATTTTCCCCTTTGTCTAACACAGCAATCTTTGTGGTCATGATTACAGTACTACATTCATATGCAAGGTATTTCATGGTGTGAAATTTTTATTTTCTTCTGATTGCCATTTCTCTTTCCTTTGTAGCCTTGATAACTTTAAGAAAAACCAATAACAACAAAAAACTGATGACAATCAAAGTGTAGAATACGTGAAAAGCTTAAAGTACACTGCTTTTCTGCCAATTGCCCAACAAATGAGATCCTGTACTCTTGAGTCTATATTTTTTCAGACAAAGGCTGTGAGAACAGCAAGTGGCACGACGTGAGTCTATTCTTGTGTCAATTACTGTAGTGAAAATGGAAAACAGTGCTACTGCAGCCTGCGAGTACCCTTGAAATGGTCAAGAACTGCAAACGTATTAGCCATTCTGCTCAGCACAGCTGGTTTAAGTACGCACACCATCTCCGGAAAACTGCTCTGCGGAGCTTAGTAATTTTCTTCCCACTGTGAGGGGATGTTATACAGGGTTGTTTATTATAAACTTTAATGGAATTGAAAGCCAAAGTATATAGACACCTTGTATCAGAGATGGCCTTATGATGAAAGTGCACAGCATGCCTTGCTCTCGATACCTGAGTATAGACTCCGATGTTCAGGGAAGAATGTAACAAGGCTGAACCGCAAGAAATAGCACAGCTCTCCATCTATATATATAAAAAATAAAACTTAAATTATCTATGAAATACATAAAAAACAGACAATTTAAGTCACTGTCTGACTCCAGATCTACTGCTATTCCTTTATGGTAGCAGGTTGCTTGCGAATAACTGAAATTAACTTGCCGCTAAACACTTTTTCATAGCTCATCTTTAGAAATGACACCAGTATCAACTCAGTTGTGAAGCACAGTCTGCAAGCCAGGAATATTGTATTGCATAGCCATGTAACTGTGGTTGGAGCTGCTTTTTTTTTTTTTTTTTTTTTTGTCCTCTTTCTTAACAAAGACTGTAAGTGCAACATGAAAATTATCAAACTTGTAAGCAATCCTGTTGATATATGCAATCAGGCTTTATTTTTGTAGCCTTCTGAAATAGGGTATGTTGTTTATGAAACTCTTCCTAGCCTGTTGGAAGTAAATGCTTTCTTGGTGATTTTCTTGATATAGATGTTGGAAATCGAGTCATAGCGAGCACTAGGCAGCTGAATGAACACTTGGGCTACTAGTGCCTAGAACTTGAATTTACGGAAGGAATATTTTCCCAAACATCACCAAAAAAAGCAATCCTGACAGCATTTGCCTGCCCTCCTGCTTTGTATTAATCCAGATTCTGTTCTCAAAAAACTTCCAGCATAGATTCAAACCCCACCTTGAAGTTCAAGTTAAGTCCATTGGCACTTCTGAAGACTTAAGTACTTCAATTCTAAAATCACAGATCCATTAAAGACAATTTCAGAATTACCCTCCCAGCAACCACAATTTTCTCATCTTTCAAAGCTCAGCCAGCTTTGTCCTCAGCTTGAATCTTTTTTTCAAAGCTTTTTCTGTCTGTTGTACAAGATGAAAAGCTGCGAAAAGAAAAATGCGTAAGGAGAGGGCACAACAGATAAAGCGTAGTTACACAGCAGTTGAATTTGAAAGATATGCTCACTCTTTTAATGTCTACTTTCAGCATTGTAAAAGACTATCCTCCACAATAATCTCTTAAGTGCTTTATCTAGCGCTGGCACTCAGCGCTCACTGGTACAAACTGTGCTAACATCTTGGCTAAACTGATAGCTGGCAAGTTCTGTTACACATGTAAGTTCTGTATTGTTTATAGAGCAGCGGTGGTGGGTCTCTGCCACAGAAACGCTTATTCTAACGAGAAATATTGAACCAACGCAGAAAGTTCCTATTCTTAAATTAAAAATAGTTTTGAACTAAACCCAAGTGGCATGTGGAGTTTTCGCTGAATATAACTCTTGCATACACGTGTCATGCCCTGAAGCACTGCATAAATGCAATTAGAAAATTGAATTACAGCATTTTGGTTATGAAGAATTGATTTTAAGCATCTGATTTCTGATCATAGAGCAAAAGTTCTTGTGAGGACTTCATTTATGGCAAGGAGGAATTTTATAAATAACTTTTTCCTTCTCTAATAAGGCAAATTTGTTTGTGCTGTTTTAAACCAAGTCCATTGTAAAAGGAAGATAGTTGAAGGGATTATAAAAAGTCACTGCTGGCAAACTTTTTTAATAAGTAGTTCATGCTAAATTCTTCTTTGTGATAATATTAGGCCAAATTCTCTGAGAATGAAGCAGGGAATGAAGGTTCCCTGACAACTTTGTCCCATCAAGGATTGTTAAAAAAGCTTACTGAAATGTCTACATCTAAACATATGCTTTAAACCTAAGACTTTATTATGCCAATAATGGTTTTAAACAGTAAAAAGTAAAAAAGTTCCCCAGGGTTTGTCCAGTCCTTTATTCTCAATGATATTATGCCAGTGGTGTGTACTGCTGTTTGAAAATAACTTATAAGAGCTATTTTATCAGAAATTATGTTCTAAATAGAGAAATCAGGACGCTCGTTGAATAGGGAAAGGTGATTTTTTTGTGCAGACATTTTTCAGTGTAGCCGGTTTCACGGCATGAGCCTATAGTAGACAGAAATAGAGGTAAATTTGACTTTCAGAAATTTTTTCCAGATGGAGGTAATCCACTGTTTAGCAGAACTGAGGTCTGGGGTTTAAAAACTTGTAGTGACTTGTACTTCAGTTGAGACCTACTTTCTGTTTGGAGGACTGGGATTTTTGTTCCATCTTTAGTTGGCTGGGTCTTATAGTGCACATCTTAAAAGCACCTGTGTGGCTTTAAAAGTGTCCTAACTGAATTAATTGTAATAATGGTGAAATGGAACTGTACAAAAGAGAACAGGCAGATCAAATAGCTAAGCTGCACAGCATTATATTTTTGGAGCACTTCATCCTTTTATAACGTTGCATGCTTTCCTTTCTTTCCTTTGTAGCTGATGTGTAAGTGTCTATTCTGCTTTAGTCTACAATACATCTTTTGAGGCATGGTGTTCCAAAGAAGTCCTTGTGCTGTAGATATTTGAGATCAAAGCAAGGACCTATCAAACATGCTAATGAAAACACCTTAAAGCCAGTTCAGTACATAAATGCACTTCAAGAAGAGGAAAAAAGTTACTTGGCTAACAACAACAGTTTTCATGTAGCATGTAATAGAGGATGGTTGATGTATCTACAGCACAAATTAATTCACTTTATGAAGTGGACAGAGTTAAGAGACTTAAAAAGAATTGCATTATGCTATTGCAGTGAATATCACACAGTCATTTCAGGTAGTTTGCATTTGTAATTCTACTTCGAATATTAGGTGTAGGAAATGTTTCTGTTGCTCAATTACATTTAATACGGCAAATTAATTCAGGCAAAATGTGGCTGTCCCATTCAATTCTAAAGTTAACTTTTTATGGAGTATCAAGGTGCTGCGAGTAAATCCAGACTATTTGGTCTAATGTGTAATTAAGAGCTGTAATGCTGTGAATAGATACATGGTCTAAATGAATCCTCTAACTAAGGTATAGCTTGTTAGTGTTTGCTTAACTATGAATTATATATCTCAAATGAACAGCAAACAAAGCAATACTGCAACCACTACAAGATCCTAAACCCTCACCCAGTGTCTGCACCCATTGCCTCTTGTCCAAACTGGAACACAGGGGATTCTGTCTAAACTTCAGGAAACAATCCCTTACTGTGCAGGTGACCAAGGGCTTGAACATTTGAGGTTTCCTGGAGAGGCTGTAGGGTCATCCCCCTTGGAGATCATCAAAAGCCACCAGGATGTACTTTTGGGCATCCTGCTCCAGCTATCCCTGCCTGAGCAGGGGGCTGGACCAGATGACCTCCAGAGGTTCCTGCCAACCTCAACTGTTCTGTGCTTCTAAACAGTTCTAAATGAGGATTGAAGAAAAAAAAAAAGAAAGTACATCTACGATAATCTCTAGATAAAATGTTCTCAAGTGGAAAATGTAGTTTCTTTCATTTTTTCTAATCTCCTGATGTCTCTGTGTGTGGCGCCACACAGGCTTCTCATAGAAACCACACAAAATAAGGGGTCCTTATTCTTATGCTGGGAAATGTTTTGTTGCACACATTGGTCCTAGGGATTTCAGTGGGCTGTGCTCTGTTCTTTTCTGGTTGCTTTAAGGGTCTCTGGGTAGGTATTAGCTGTTAGCTCCAGGGGTGAAATGGCAAACTAGAAAATGAGCTGAAATGCCTACTTTTCTGTTCCCCAGCTCTCAGTGACAGTTTACG